TGGAAGTTTGGTGCGGAGCAGCCTAGGGTCAGAGCCATAGGCCAGAGAAGGAAGAGGCTTTGCCAAGTAGGTGGGTTGTGCTTCATTGTCAGGAAGTTTCAAGAACGGGCTACTTACTAAATGACCTGTTTCTTGGCCGTCATACTGACTGACGCTGAATGCTATCGATCTGAGTTACATCCAGCCACCGGAGTCCTGTCGCTCTGTTGACTGATGCCATCCCCGGAGGGATCTCGGGTTCTTTCTCTTCAGGGTCCACGTGGGAAGTGCTTGAGTTGCAGAGGTAGGAGTGGGCTGAGAGCGTGAGGTCAGCCATGGCGGTGCAGATGGTGACCATTCATTTCACTCTCACAGACACCCTTCCCTGTAGGAGAAACCAGGGGACGGAGAGCTTCCGAAACCTGGCCCAGCTCCCAGCCAGTAGGGACTGAGAGCGCAGGCTGTCTGCTTTCTAGACTCTGAGCTTTCAGTCACTGGGCTTCCCCTGCAGGGCAGAGGTGGGAAGGAGGGGCTGCTCCCGGTGCCACTGGGACATCTGGGGTTCCAGGGTCCTGTGCGCCTGGCCCAGGAGTTTGGTCTTATCCTGAGGGATGGTCAAGGAGGGTAGGTGCCAGACTAGTACTTGTTGAGGACAGAGTTATTCTGGGTTCGGAACATCAAGAGGCCCTGGGCCTTAGGAGTGTAGTTGAAAGATAGGAGCAGTAACCACTATTGATTAAGTTTGTACCCGGAGCCAGGCACTGTGTTTCATGGACATGGACTTAACGGAGGCAAGAGACTGTGCGGTGGTGAAGAGGGTGGGCTCCAAAGCCAGGCTGCCTCGGGTGAGATTCAGCCTCTGCAACTTCTCTTTGGCTCAGTTTTCTTGTCCATCAAATGAGGAAAACCAAGGCATATACAGTGGTGAAGGGCCATTGTGAGGGTCACACGAGCTGCTAGGTAGAGAGTGTCCAGAACAGCGCTCTGTGGGTAGTGAGTGCTGTGCACGTGAGCTCTGGTCACAGCCACCTTTGCTGTTTCACTGGTGGGGCCCAGGGGTTTGGGCAGGGGCACGGTGGTAGGTGGTGAGGCCTGATTCCACCCCTGCCCTCAAGGATTCAGCAGCCCCCAGCATGCCACCCCGCTTCCGCTCTGCCCTCCCTCCGCCTGCCGTCTTCTCTTCTGCTCCTTCTCCGTCCTGAAAGTGCCTGCCCACCCTCCAGGTGTCCCCTCACCTGTGCTGCTTTCCTTGCTCCTTCTGCCTAGACTTCATCCTGCCCCACCCATGCTCTGTGAGTACCAGGTAGCATTTCCTCACTCTGCGCTTTGGGTGGGTGAGACCTGGCAGCTGAAAGGGAGTAGAGCAGGGGTGGGAGGGAGGGGGAGGGGAGCTGGGCCGGTGGCCAGGCTGGGAGGGTTGGGACAGCAGAGGTGAGGGGTTGGGACAGTGGCTTTCAGACCATATCTGGGGAGGTGTCTGGGGAGGAGCCCTCCTGAGGGTCCAGGCTTCTCCCTCTGTTACCACAGGGCTGTCCCTCTGCCCCTCCGCCCAGAGGATTTGTTCTGTGCACTGAGGGCTTTAGAGTAATGGGTGATGTTTGGAAAAAGCCAAAAATACCCTCCTTTAGAAAAAATGTTGAGCCCCGGCCAAATGGCTCAGTCGGTTGGAGCATTGTCCTGTGCACCAAAAAGGCTGCGGGATTGATTCCTGTTCAGGGCACATGCCCAGGTTGCAGGTCTGATCCCTGGTCAGAGTGTGTATGGGAGCCAACCAATCTGTCTCACATTGATGTTTCTTTCTCTCTCTTTCTCTAAAAAAAAAAAAAAAAAAAAAATTGAAAATTAGAAAAACAGCAGGAGTGGCTACACCAAGTGGGGACAGAGCATGGAGGTGGCATGTCCTGGCACTGTGTCCTGACTGCCCCCGCTGGAGGGATAGGCGGGAAGTAAAGGGAGGGGGGAGGGAAGGGAGGACTAGCTTTAGGGAAGGCAGAGGGAGCGGGCAGGAGTGTTGAAGAAACTAATCCGGGTGGTTGGAAGGAAGAGACCCTGGAGGTGGGAAGACGAGTTTGGAGTTTGTGGAAGGACAGGGATGGAGGCACTGGAAAGACCGTCACGGTGACTGGATAAAACCTGGTCGAGGGCGGGGCCTGTGCCTCGGAGATGGCCCGGGGGTTGGAAGTGAGAGTCCTGGTGGAAACAGGTGGAGGTCAGCTGGGAGGAGTATCTCGTTTGCAGAAAAATCAGAAGATGAGGGCATCCCCCATGTAGTATGGTAACAGGGCTCATTATTCCTGAGAATTCTCACGTGAGGGCCTGCCTCTGGGAAAGGGGTCAGTCGGAGTTACTCAGTGCACTCCAGGAGCATTCTGTTGGTCATGTAAGCATTTATGTGCAGGTGACAAGGCTTCGGAAACCTTGTCCCGAGAGATTGTACAGTGCCCCCCTGAAGACGTATGGGCACGCTTACACTTGGGGACCTTGGCTCCCCTCCCCCCCGGGACCTGAAGAGCCATCTCAGACCGGTGCCCAGAAAGGTTGTCAGGCAGCATTTTACACAATAAGCTGTGGGAGGTGTGAGCGTGTGGGAGTTAATGCCACCTAGCACCTGCTCGGTGCTTTTTCTAGCACCTCCAGAGACTCTCATTTAATTCTCATTAAGTCCTCACAGCAACCTGATGGTTTTGGCGAGATTAGCCCCATTTTACCAATGAGAAACAGAGTAAGAAAAGCTGAATAATTTTTTTTAATCCTTACTCAAGGATATGGTTATTGATTTTAGAGAGGAAGGAAGGGGGAGAGAGAGAGGAGAAAAAATCAGTGTGAGAGAGAACGTCTCTCAGCTGCCTCCCGTATGCCGTATGCTCCCTGACCGGGGATTGAACCCACAACCTAGGATGTGCCCTTACTGGGAGCCACCTTTTGTGTGCAGGACGGCGCTCCAACCAACTGAGCCGCCCAGCCAGGGCAGAAAGATGGACTAAGTGGCCCAAGTTTAAGTAGCTAGTAAAAGGTCGTGCTGGGATTAAATCCAGGGCCATTTGTCTCCAAAGCCCTGAGCTCTTTCCACTACCTTTCCTGCTGTCCTAACCACTTAGCACTGGGGGTGGAAGGGGGCCCCAGCCCCAACTCTGGACACTCCTCGGAAGGACTGAACACTGAAAAGGCCTCCCTTCTGGGGCTTGCCTTTCGGAGCTGCAGGATGGGTGAATTCGGTGGTGTTTTGGGTCACGTGAGACTCACATGATGTTTGATTTTTTTTATGGCCTCCTGTGTGAAGTCAGGTCAACAGCCTGATACTTGGCTGCGTGGCTGGAGTCATTTGGAGGAAGAAAAATAGATCAGATCAACTAGTATGTCCTCATTAAGAAGCAAGATTAGGAAGTGTGCTCCGGCACCCACAGGTGTTCTCTGACATGAGCAGTGGGATGGGGCCAGGGTTATAACACCCTGGGGTTGATTTGTGCAGGTTGCTATGGTAACAGCTTTCCTACGCCACCATAGGTGGATGTGGGGAATTTGCAAGAAACCCCAAGGCCTTTATAACTCCCCCTACCAGGGTAATTTCAGGCTTGGAAGTAGTTGGCAAGGAAGTGGTGTCTGGTCACAGTGAGGAGGGGACTGGAGCCAGAGAAAGCAGGCACACTGGCCCAGCCACGGTTCCGTGTTAGAATTCAGTGATGGCGGTCGTTTTGCTTGACTCAGTGTGGAGCCCCAGGGGTGTCTGGAGTCGCCCCTAAGATTTCCCTCAAGAAGCAGAATTATGCAGTAATGCCTGTTCAGTGGCCGGGAGCCTGCACAGCCCTGTTCATCTGAGGCACGCAGGCCCCACGTGGCATTGTCCGCCGACTGCCCATTTGCTGGAGAAGGAGACTAAGCCTAAGGGACTCGATCAAGGCCACCCCGCTAAATTGCTGCGGAGCCAAAGCGCAAAGCCGGAGTGTCTGTGCCCACATACTGTGCTTGTCCCCTCTGCATTCTGGGCGGGGAGAGCGGACTTTACCTGTTTTGAGGTGGGGGGCACCACAGACCATCTCTAGGACCGGCACGCCTTACTCCAATCTGAGCAGCCTGCATGTAGAAAATGCTGCGTTTACTTTCATTTTTTTATCCCCTCCACTCCTGAGTTTCTTCTTTAAAGGACCTGATATCAGTCGAAGCTGTTTGAATTTTGAGCTGAACAATCCTGGCAAAGATCCTCATTGAGCAAGATCCACCAGTACATTGCTCCCCACCGACCCCATTAAGGACAGACCCGGGAGGCTGCCTGAGTTTGAGCGCTCACCAGCCTCACGTAGACATTCTGCAGCCACTTCCCCTGCCTCCCCAGGGCAAGAAAGGATACTGCCTCTGGCGTAAATCCACTAGGGTACAGTGTCCTCTCCTTTGAGCCTCTTATCTTCCGCTAGATCACATTCCCTGTGTCCAAGGCATGTGTTAGTCAAGATGCAAAGTAATGGAAAGCAGTTGAGATCCAGAGTTGCCAGCAGCAAGGGCCAGTGGCCAGAAGCTTTGTTTTTCAGTACATGCGTTGTAGAGGCCCAAGGGCACAGCTGTGGAATGCAGGGCTCCTGGAATGTGGCACCTGGCTGCTCTGTCCTCCCCCCTTCTTTGCAGAATCCACTCCCCTGGCAGCAGTCTCTCTTGGAGGACATGTCGATTTGGGGTTTAAACCACAGGCCACCCAGTTTCTGACAACTTTGAATTGCCCACTGGAATTTAAAAATGGGGAGATGGCACCCAGATCTAGATTTTGAGCTTTCTTTGGAGACCGGCCCTCCTACCCCCAGGGGGTGCATGAGCTGGGCAGGAGCCTGTGCTTTGCGGAGGGAGACACTCCCCGCCCAGAGGCTTGGCCTCTGATGCACCCGCCTTGTCCTGGTGGGTGCAGGGTTTGTGACTTCCGTGATCTCTGGCGGGGATGTGAAAGCTGCAGAGCAGACAAAACAAAACAAAGTGAAAAGGAAAAAGAAAGAAAAGAAACATATTTTTTCCCCCTCTCAGGGCTTGGTATCAAGGGATGCACGACGTTGTCCCCTCATGACGGAGGGAACACAGGTTAGCCCCCGCCTTCCCTGTTCACCTTGTTCCCCGGCTGGTCTCCTTTGAGTTGATGGTGTCGCCTCCAAAGGAGGTGTTGTCTTTTCTGTACCTGTGAGTGTTATGCGGCCTCCTGCCTCCCTCACCAGCCTTCTCCTCCCATCCACGCTCCCACGAGGGCCCTGTTGTCGTCTGCCCTCCACCCTTGGACTCCTGTCCCAGTGCGAGCAGCCCCTTTGGCGAGGCCTCAGGGGCTGGGCGCACACCCAGCCCTCAGAGCTGTCCACCTCCCCGCTTCTTACTCCACGGCCCCCGCTCCCCCGGGACGCCCCTCTTACCACCGTCTGCTTCTCTGTTTTGCTCTCTGAAACAAAACTGAATTTCTGGAGAATTTGCTTGTTTTTATATTTTAAGGCTGTGCCTGGCCTACAGTAAGAATTCAGTAAATACTTATTTACACCTCTCTGCCCCCACATACCCTTCCTCCCTTTCGGTGGGTTCTTATATGGTACTTGGCATGTAGTAATGAATAAGCAGGTGTTTGTCAGTAAACGCATGAAGAAAGGAGTGAGGTGCGGAAGGTGGAAGAAGCCCTGCTCTCACATCCCCACGTCCTGGATGACGCGCGTACCAGCTGACCCACTGGTCCTCGCCCTCCCTGCCCCTGTCCGCTCTTCTGCAGACGTCGTTAGGGGCTCTGTGTGCCACTGGGAATACAGTGGTGAACGCGCCATTTCCTTCCCTTTGTCCTCTCATCTCACCCTTCTTTCCTGTCCCCTCCTTCCAAATAGCAGACTCCTGACACTGCCCCACCCCTGAGTACCCAACATCCTCCTGGGCACCTTGGTAAGTGGAGGGGCGTCCTGGTCAGGCCTGGGTGCTGGGGTGGGGTGGTGGGAGGTGATTGGGCTTGTCAGGCCCTCCAGACACAAAACCTCCTGGCCTCTGGGCCCCCAGATGGCTGCTCAGTAACCTCCAGTTCTCTGCATCCTGACGTCCCAGGGCGTTGTGGCCACTTTGAGTAGCACTGGTTTTGATTTTTCCTGCCACATTGGGTGACTGGGGGGCAGAACACTTCCAGCAGCAGGGGCCTTGGGCAAAATATTTTCCTGTTCCTTTCTCCTTTTCCAAATTAAGAACCCAGAGAAGTGTTTGCTACTTTCAGCCTCCCTGGTGACTCTGACTTCTGGAAGAAAGGCACTCCCAGCTTCCGGGGACTTCTCACGGGACAGGCATTTGCCTGCTGCAGTTTGAGATGTTGTCAGTGGGCCAGGGTAGGGGAGCTGGTTGCCGGGGGGGGGGGCGCCCAGGGGCCTGGGGCTTTCAGACCTGCAATCTTGTTATCTTAAACTATCCTCCTGACTGCCCCTGAGGGGCGGGGGGACGGTGGGGCAGGTGGGCAAAGGTGCTTGTGAAATTTAAATACTAAACGGCTTACGAGACCTTTTGCAATACATGGCAGTGCTTTCATCATCTCTCTCCGGGCCTCCTTTCTGAAATCGGGGTAATTAAGCCTTGTGTTCACTCTACTTACTAGAGCGGTTTGGAAGCCAGCGATTTTTCCGCTGGCGTGCTGCAAGAGGCACTCTGCTGTGCCCCCAGAATCTTTAAAACATGCAGTACCTTTTTAAAAGATTCTTAGGGCACACCAGAGTGCCTGTTGCAGCCCAAGAATCTTTAAAATATGCAATACCTGGCCTTGGCCGGGTAGCTCAGTTGGTTAGAGCATGGCCCCATGCACCAAGGTTGAAAGTTCATTCCCTGGCCTGGGCACATACAAGAAGCAACCAGTGAATGCATAAATAAGTGGACAACAAATCGATGTCCCTTTCTCTCTGTCCAGAAAAAAAAAAAAACAAAGAGAAACATGCAGTGCCTGACTATTTAGTCAGGGGCACTGACTTCTTTTCCCCTTAGATTGTCAAGTAAAACAATGACAGCAGCTAACACAAGAGTGCCATCTGGTGTGAATGAATCAAAATTAGGCCTATTTTTTGGTCAGAATGGCAGAAAGTATATATTTTGTGGGATGCCAAAGAATTTTAGTAGTTCATTTCTATGTGCCATGAGATGACAGGTTGGAAGTTACTGATGTAAGTTAATGGGAGAGATTGCAGAGGGCTCTGATCTCAGAAGAAAGGGGCCCGTGACCATCAGGGATTGTTTAGCCGTTTTACAGGCAGGAAGAAGGAGCCCCTAGAGAATGTGGGCGTCTGTGGGTGCGGGGTCCCGCACACCTCTCCTGCCAGCAGTGCCTTCTGAGGCGCTGTGAGAGGGGGCGACTGGCTGGTGGGGCCCAGTGGAAGGAGCAGCAGGCCCCAGAAGTCTGGGGCCCCCTCCTTTGTCACCACAGGCAAGTGGCACGCCATTCTGCCATAGTTTCAACACCTGTAAATTGGGGAGTGTTCGTCTTTGCCAGCCAGGGAGTGCCTCACAGAGGGGAGGTCCTCCCTGATAGTCCTCACAGAGGGGAGCTAGAACCTCCTGTCCCTTTCGTCTCCCGGGTTCCACACCCCTGGAGCTGGGATGTCAGGTTTTCCACGCAGAATGGAATCTTATTCCCAGTGAGGGAGCACGTTGGGGGGCCTGATGCCAGGCATGGGTGGTCTAATTAGGACAGCAGTGTGTTTCACTCATGGCCCACTTTGGGGAGAATTGTCACTGTCTAAAAGGCAACGGGACTCTGGATCAGCAGGTGAACGTTACAGGACTTTTGCCACAGGGAGTTCAAGGCAATGAAACAGAGTCAGGAGGGGTGCGTCAGATTCCAGAGAAAGGTTATCATTTGGATGGTGGTCGGAGGGCACTGGATCTAAGGGGGCTGTGTGTCATGGTACAGTGGGCTGCACACTTCAGTGCACCCCTGAGTGATCCAGGGTACTCGCTTGTTCATTGATTTCTTGATCGGCCACTATTCTTAACACAGGGAAGTCTTTCTTGCTTAATACAGGGTATGGAAGAAGTAGGTTTATAGTTACAGGTGAAACAGAGTTTATTCTTGTGTTATTATTCATTATTCATTAGAGTATCACAACTCTAAACCTACTTTTGCCCACCCCTGTAATTACAGTCACTTATTACCAAACTTTGGTGACAAGTTACGTCCTTGGTGCTGCTGCTGCTCCTTTCCCTGTCCCTCTCCAAAGCAGCAGCAGCAGTAGCCTCACACAAGTTTTAGCAACATCAGGTCCCGCCTTGGGCCACCTGGGACTTTCAAGCCCAGCAGAGGTGGCTTGGGAACTTAGCTTTCACAGACTCATCCACTAAACCCCATGTTCACTACAAGTTCAAGAAGGGTGGACATACACAGCAGATCCACAGAGGTGTCAGTAGTACCCTTTTGTCAACCCCAGCGGGAAGACAATTCAAGATGCTGTGAAATACTCAAATGTTTTACAGAGATTTTATTTTGGTGACTTTACTGTGATCAAAACATATCCCTTTTGGGGGGGAGGGGAATAGTGGCTGGTGGGAACCAGCCAGGTGGCTGTAGGCTGGGTCCCCATCAGTCAGTGCCTCCTCTCAGGTAAGCGCTGGTGCCTGCCTGGTCCACCCACACAAGCTGGATTAGAGGCACTGAAGGAAAGTGCACTTGAGGTCCCGTCAGAGACTCTGAGCCCCTGCATTTCCGTCCCGCCTCTGAGGGACAGGTTGACAAAGCCCTTCCGCTCCCCATCCTTGCCTTTCCTGTCAGATGAGGTCACACCCACCAGATGAGGCCAGGAGCACTAGAGTTCCCTCAGTTACCAGAGTAAAGTAAGATCACAGATGCAAAGCTAGTTTGACCTGGGTGGCTTCATTATTGTAACATCATTGAAAATTAAATTAGGACCTCCAGTCAAGACAGAGGCATAGGTAGACATGCTCTGCCTCCTTGTGCAACCATAGAAAGAATTGCAACCAGATTTCAAAACATAACACCCAGAACTGTTAGAAAATTGAGCTGTATGAAGGTCCAGCAACCAAGGATTTAAAGAAGCCACATTCATGCAGATGGATAGGAGGAGCAGAGTTGCAGAGATGGAGAGGAGGTGGTGGAATGACGGTCCCACATTCATGTTTGGTGGATAAAAATCAGGAGGGATAATTTGGGAGTGAGTGATCCATCCCCAGGCCAGACTGCACAGCCCAGGATTCCAACACCTGGAAGATAATCCCTATTACTTCTGGGTGTAAAAACCAGGAGGGGTTGGGGTGGCAGAAGGAACTGCTGGATTTTTGCAGCTTAAGGGGCCTGCAGAGATGTAGAACAACATACAGAAACCCACCCACTCTGGGTTTAACCACCAGGGCAGCAGCTGGAAGGTGCCAGTTGCATATGGAAAGTGATAGAAGTGACTGGAAATGGGGCAAGTGCTGGGCAAACCTCCAGAAGCCAGGCAGCAGCTCTGTCCCCTCTCTGAGTCATCCTTCCTCCCCCAACAGAGCCACAAAGTGGTGAAGTGAACTGGGTTGCCCCGCCCTGGCAATTATCTGAGACTCTGCCCCACACAATTTACTACTAAGACGGGGTCAGAGCAGTTCTACCTAATAATGCAGAGAAACAAACACAAGGAGGCTGCCCAACTAAGAAGACAAAGAAATACGGTTCAAACAAAAGAACAGAGCAAAACCCCAGAAAAAGAACTAAGCAAAATGGAGGTAGCCAGACTGTCAGATGCAGAGTTCAAAACACTGGTGATCAGGATGCTCAGAGAGCTGAGTACAGCAACAATACAGAGGAAGAAATGAAGGATACACTAAGTGAAATAAAGAAAATCCACAGGGAACCAGTAGTGAAGGGAAGGAAGCCGGGATTCAAATGAACAATTTGGAACATAAGGAAGAAAAACATTCAACCAGAATAAAAAGAAGAAATAACTCAAAAAAAACCAAGGATAGGCTTAGGAATCTCTGGAACATCTCCAGATGTGCCAACAGCCAAATCATAGGGATGCCAGAAGAAGAGGAGGAGCAAGAAATTGAAAACTTACTTGAAAAAATAATGAAAGAAAACTTCCCTAATTTGGTGAAGGAAATAGACATACAAGTCCAGGAAGCACAGAGAGTCCCAAACAAGATGGACCCAAAGAGGACCACACAAAGACACATCATAATTAAAATGCCGAAGTTTAAAGATTAAGAGAGAATCTTAAAAACAGCAAGAGAAAAGCAGAGTTACCTACAAAGGAATGCCCATAGCCTATCAGCTGATTTCTCAAAATAAACCTTATAGGCAAGAACGGATTGGCAAAAAGTATTCAAAGTAGTGAAAGCGAAGACGTAACATCCAAGATTATTCTATCCAGCAAAGCTCTCATTTAGAATGGAAGGGCAGATAAAGTGCTTCCCAGACAAGGTAAAGTTCACCATCACCAAGCACTTATGTGAAATGTTAAAGGGCCATATCTAAGAAATAGAAGATCAACCATGAACATTAAAAAGGCAACAAACTCACAACTATCAACAAGGGAACCTAAAAAAACAAAAACAAGTCCCAAGCAAACAACTAGAACAGAAAAAGAATTGTAGGTATGGAGGGTTATCAGCTGGGAGGGGGCAGAGGGAGAATGGAGGGAAAAGTACAGGGATTAAGAAGCATAATTGGTAGGAACAAAATGGACAGGGCCATGTTAAGAATAGCATAGGAAGTGAAGCCAAAGACCTTACTTGCATGACCTATGGACATGAACTAAGGGGGGGAGGTTGCTGGAGGTAAAGGGGTACTGGGAGAGGTGGGGCAAGGGGGAGAAGTGGGGCGAGGGAGGGGGGAAATTGGGACAACTGTAATGGCATAATCAATAAAATATACTTAAAAATTAAATTAAGACCCTTGGAACCCTGGCTCAGAGCATTGTTTTGCACACCAAAAGGTTGTGGATTGGTTCCTGGTCAGGGCACATGCCTGGGCTGTGGGCTCAATTCCCGGTGAGGGAGCATATGGGGGCTCACATGGGAGGCAGACAGTTGATGTTTCTCTCCTTTCCTCTCAAAAAAAAGATCAGTAAACATATGTAAAAAATGTTTTAAGAACCCTGGAGATTCTAAAGTTCTGGGTCTGGAGGAGGTCTTAGGGCACTGGCTCTCCACCGGGACTGCAGGTGAATCTGATGGACGTGGTGACAACTGCCCTGCCCCTCACTGGTAAGGGCACGGCCCCTTCCTAGCCATCTGACTCTGGGCTAGTACAAGATTCAGTGAGATAATGCAGGCGGAGCTCGGGCTTAGCAGGAGACCTGCCCTGGGACAAATGCTGGCAGGAGACCTCAACACCACAGAACTTACTTATTCCTGAGGTTTCCACAAGCCCCGAGCAGAGCTGCAGTTCCCCAGGACTGGCACCAGCTGTCCCGTCAGCCATGCCCCATGGAGGAGTCCCCAGCAGGGACTGCACAGCAGGCAGCAGGCAGCATAGCCTCGGGCCGCAGACTCTGCGTCTTTGGGTCTTGGGACATCGTTCACTCCTAACATTACTGAATTTCCCAGAGTTTGCATCCATGTGGATTTTAGCTGTTAATATTCACTGTGTTAGAAACCGAAAGTGAGGAAATTTTAAAACACAACTCGCAAGCACACACTTTGGCTGCCAAAATAATCACGTGATCATGTGCCAGGTACCCTCTGAAAGCTCCTCTGTATGCAAGAAAGGGAATAAAAAAAATAATGCTTGGGATCGTGAAAGTCATTCTGACCTCTTGGACAGCCTCAGAGGGGCTTAGAGACTGCCCCAGGGTGCTGGGAACACACTTGGAGAGCCATCAGCCTAGAGTGTAGGAGAATAAGCCCTGGAGCCAGACTGCCTGGGTTTGACCCGCTGGGCCACACCAGCCGAGCTGTTTAACCTCTCTGCACCTTAGTTCCTTATCTGTTAGAGCAGCCGCACCTGGAGCAGCAGAGCCAGCGCTACACAGCCTTGGCCATTACTGGGACCCTCACAGCCACTTTCCTTCAGTGCCCTGTTCGGTGGCAGGCCCCTGCCTGGGTGGCGTAGGGCTGGGCACACAGCTGCAGAGCCCCAGCAAGCTGGGCCATCCTGGAGGCCTTAGGAATAAGTAAGTTCTGAAGCATTGCAGTCTCTTGCTGGCACTTGTTCTAGTTCAGGCCTTGTGCTAAGCCAGCACTCTACCTACTGAATCTCACTGAACCTTGCACGAACCCATTTCACAGATGAGGAGCCTGAGGCTCAGGCAGGTTGCACTTGGGCAGGGTGTGGTAGCTGGTAAGTGGCAGGGCCCGGGACTCAGACTCCGTCTGTCTGGCTGACCCTGGGCTCCCAACATGTTTCCGATCTTCGAGACTTATATCAGAAAGCTGCCCTGCTCGTCCTGCTCCTGGTGGGGCACTGGGCCTCTGAAGCTCGGCTCCTCCCTCGGGCCTGTGCAGTCTGCTGCCCCCTGTGCCAGCTTTTAGACCACAAGTTCGGGAGCAGCAGGGGGAGGTGTAGACAGGGTGCAGGTTTCAGTTTTGACTGCCATCCGCAAGTGGGAGGACTGCCACTTCACAGGATTAAGAGGGATAGCACGTGTATTGTAAAACTCATTCTTTGGCTCTCAATATCCAGTAGCCTCCATTGTCACACGACTAGCAAGGAGCTATCTACTGTCTTCCTCAGACTCTGGCCCTGGATCGGTTGCATCAGCATTTCCCAGGGAGACCCTGCATTTCCGGGCCCCTCCCTGGCTTGCCTGGCAGGTGGGGCTCAGGTGCACAGTGAAGCCTCGCATTCCATCCTTGCAAGGTTCGGGGCTCCATTCCACCGTCAGTAGGCACCACCGGACGTGGTGGTGACCCTGTTTGGGTAGCACTTTATCAGCGGGTGGCTGTATCCAGGCACACCTGTTTTATTGTGTTTCAGAGGTGCTGTGATCTTTACAAATTGAAAGCAAGGTCCTCCGCCGGCAAAAAGATTAGGACTCACGTTACTGTGGCATTGGCTTTACTGCAGTGGTCTGGGACCAAACCTGCACGACCTCCCAGGTCTGCCTGTGATCTGTCTAGACCGGGATGTTCTTGAGCGTGGGAAGGAATAGCTATGCAAGGAGGTGAGGCGTAAAGCAAGACTTTCCTGGAAAATGGGGGATAGGGTGGTCAATATTTATCAGTTTCTCTTCTCGGCTCTCAGGGCCCTGGGAGATGCCTCTTTTTCTATTACAGATGGGGAGACTGGGACCCAGAGAAGGTTGCTTCTGGCTATAACTTTGGTGCTGGATTCCAAAACGCCTCCTTGGCCGAGTGGCAGGTGTCGGCTCCTTGGAGGCTGGCACTGGCGTGGGGTTATGGGGCACTTCAGATCTCCCACAGTGTCAGAGTCTTCAGAAAACTAACACCTTTGTAATGATAAAACCAACGGTAATGCTATCAAACGCCTATCTGGAAAAGATAAAAACAGATAAACAGAGAGGGTCCTGGCAGCAGAAAGGGAGTGAGTACTGGGTGTTTGTGTGCATGCTTTCTCTTCTTGGTCCCTGGGGTCTGGCTGTGACCCCTTGTCATACAGACAATCTGTCAGTGTCCCCCGGGCAGAATGACAGAGGGAGGGGACTGCTGAAACTAGCTCTTTGTCAAAGCGGACATTCTATTCAGGTCGGTCAATTTCTTTTCCTCCTGATTGCCCTGGAAGCCAATTTGTCCATTTTTTCCCCGTGGTGATGAGGATGGGGACGTGAATGTGACAGTCCAGTTTTGTGGCATGTGGGGAGGATGGCAGTTGCAGAAAACACTGAGGGGACTAGAGGCTGTCAGCGGCCTAAATACAGCCTGCAGCGGCCCTGGTGTGTGAGGCGGGGTCTGTCTCTGGTGCACACGGAAATAGACGCCTCCCGGAGTGGCTGCTGTCTTCAGGGCCCACGGGCCGCCTTGGGCCGGTCTCTCCTCCTGCCCTTTCCATCCGCTCCTTGGGCAGCTTCCTCCGTGTTCTCCTCCTGGCTGCCGAGTGCTTTCACGTGTCCTGCTGTCCAGGGTTTGGACGGAAGGAGCAGCTCCTTGGTCCCTGGGGAGGGGGGCAGGCAGGGTGGCAGGAACACACTGAATGGGACCCTTACCCCTCCCTGAGCCACCCCCTCGAGGGAGGAAGCATCCTCCCAAAACTGTCTTTCACAGATGATACAAATGGCTCAGGGGTCCCTTCCCCACGAGCTTCTCCTCGTCACGTCAGAATCATTCTGTGGTTACAGGGCAAGATGGAGACCCTGAAAGACAAGACCCTGGAGGAGCTGGAGGCCATGCAGAATGACCCGGAAGCCATTGACCGGCTGGCCCAGGAGTCCCCCGAGGTAGAAGCAGGCTGTCGTGGGGCCCAAGAAGGGAAGGGCCTATGGATGGGACTGAGGCACTTGAGTTCGGGTCCGGTTCAGCTCCCTTTCCTATGGCCTTCCCCGTGGTTGGGACCCACAGAGATTCCTCTGAGGTGTCAGCCTAGTTCTCTGGCCCTCGGGGGCCCTAGGGGGCAGTGCTAGGGAGTCTGGGCCCTCATTCGAACCCACACACTGCAGCAGTTCCGCACTGTTGTTGCAGCCTGAGTCTGGAGGCGGTTTCTAGAAGCCATGGTACCGTTTCGTAGCTGCCTTTCCCCGGGGCCTGTGGCCCTGCACCTCCAGGAGGAGGCATTCTCGGGCTGGGGCATGGGCCCATCTGATTGATCCGTATGCAGCCATTCCATGGGGTGCCTGGTCAGAGTGCTTGCTCAGCGTTGACCCCAGGTCCATCTGACTCTAGCTGAGGGCTCAGTGTTGTTGTGGTTGCCTACGGTGGGCAGTGAGTCCCAGAAGCCCCCAGACTAGCCTGCTGTGTGCTGAGTGGTAGTGGGGATTCTTATGCTGAGCACCCCGTTCTTTAGGTCCAGGACCTACAGCTGGAACGGGAGATGGCGCTGGCCACCAACCGGAGCCTGGCCGAGCAGAACCTGGAGTTCCAAGGTCCCTTGGAGATCAGCCGCTCAAACCTCTCGGACAAGTACCAGGAGCTCCGGAAGCTTGTGGAGCGGTGCCAGGAGCAGAAGGCAAAGCTGGGTAGGGGTGGCCGGACCCCGGGAGGGTACTCTGGGGGGCTCCAACTCAGGGGCCGCTCCAGGTTGGACTGAGAGAGCTGATGGAGTAGCATGGAAGGTGCCGACTGGTGTGGCTCAGTGGGCGGGGCATCATCCCGCAGACCCACAGGTCGCCGGTTCGATCATCAGGGCACGGCCTGGGTTGCAGACCAGACGCCTACGTGGGGTGCATGCGGGGGGCAGCTGAGTGATGTTTTTCTCGCATGTCAACGTTTTTCTCCCTCTCTTCCTCCTTTCCCTTTGCTCTGAAAATAAATAAAAATAGCTATTATTAAAAAATAGCGTGGAAGAACAGATGCCCTCTCCCTTCCTCAGGGTGGGAGAGGGCCAGCAGTTACTGTGGGTCACCACGTCCCAGCCCTGTGCTAAGAAGCGCTTTACGTGCACTTTTGTCCTTATGGCCACAGAGGGCTGGGTCCTGCTGTCGCTCTCACTACACAGATGAGGCCCAGGGTCCCAGAGCGTGACCAAGGTCGCACCGCCAGCCAGCAGTAGAGCTGGGATTCGAACCCGCAGAGCCTGCGCTGCCACTGTCAACTCAGCCAGCTCAGCTTCGGCAGGGCTGGCCCGGCCTTCTCTGTGCCGGACCACTGTCTATGGAGGTGGCAGGGGCTGTCCGGGCGTGACAGCGAGGAAGAGCGGTGCCCTGCGGGACCGAACGGGGCTGGGCTCGGCCGAGCTCCTCTCCACTCAGGAAGGCGACCTGAGGGAACCGCCGCAGGGGTGTGGCGCGGCCGCAGCACACAGGGCCCTCGGGGGGCCTTGGCAGGGACCTTGGCCTCCAACTCTGAATCCTCCTGAAACGTCGGCCTTTCTACCCTCTGTTCCAGAGAAATTCTCGTCAGCACTGCAGCCGGGGACCTTGTTAGACCTTCTGCAGATCGAAAGCATGAAAATTGAAGAAGAGTCAGAGGTGAGAGGGTCATTGGCATCCCCTCTTCCTCCCACAGCGTCAGCCCCTGGGGCAGAAGCCATGTCATGAGCACCGGGTGTCTGCGGAGGGTGGGACAAGGGCGCATTAGTAGGTTGCAGAGGTGAGTGGCACCCGGTGTCCCAGCAGAGGCCCTTTGGGATGCAGAGAACAGGGACCCTGAGTGGCCGTGGGCGGCGGGTGGGCAGGCGGCTCTCTTCCGTCTTCGGTCTCCGTGCTCTGGCCGCCCAGCAACTCAGCAGCCAGTGTTCATTGCTTAGGCAGTAGCCACGGGGCCAGGCACAGTGGGCCCCCACAGTGGGGGCAGGGACGGCAGTGTCTGCGACAGATGGTCCCTGCCCTCCAGCAGCTGATACTCTGGTGAGAAAGGCAGAGTGAACCGCCGAGTGTGTGTATCGTGTGTATCGGCAGTGAGGAGCCAGAGAGGGCAGCGGCTGCCTGGGGCAGCAGAGGTGGGAGGGCCATGGCTGATCTGTGACCTGGGGGACCAAGGGTGTGCTTGTTCCCAGCAGGCCTGTATTGTCACCTGACCCATGTCTTCCAGGCCATGGCGGAGAAATTCCTGGAGGGTGAGGTATCCTTGGAAACATTCCTGGAGAACTTCTCCTCCATGAGGATGCTGTCCCATCTGCGCCGGGTCCGCGTGGAGAAGCTGCAGGATGTGGTGAGGAAGCCCAGAGCTTCCCAGGAGCCAGCTGGTGACGCCCCTCCTCTCCGCCCACCTCTGCCTTCCCGCCCAGTCCCCCAGGCCACGCCCCCTGTGGCCGAAGAGCAGCCACCCCCACTGCAGGCACCCACAGGAGTGCCTCCCTTCCCCTTGCCCTATAGCCCCTCTCCCGGCTTGCCAGTGGGCCCCACCGCCCAAGGCCCGCTCCAGCCGGCCCCCTTCCCGGGGGTGTCCCCGGCCTCCCTTCCCTACAGTGGGCCCTTGGGCCCCCCATACCCATCAGCCCAGCCAGGACCCAGGGCTGCTGCGGGCTACTCCTGGTCCCCACAGAGGAGCCTGCCTCCCCGGCCTGGCTATTCTGTGCCTCCCTCTGGTGCCTCTGGCCCCGGGTACCCCTTGGCGGGGGGCCGGGCTCCCAGTCCCGGTTATCCTCAGCAGCACCCCTACCTCTCGACAGGAGGCAAACCTCCTTACCCAACACAGCCCCCGCTCCCAGGCTTCCCAGGCCAGCCCCAGCCCTCAGGCCCCCCTCGGCCTCCCTACCCCCCTGGGCCAGCTCCCCCGTATGGGTTTCCGTCACCTCAGGGTCCTGTTTGGCCTGGGTATTAGACAGGGTCCTGGCCCTAGGCCCTTCCCTACTTCCGCCAGTACCACACCTTTGGCCCACCTTCTGCTGAGATTCGAGGTTAGATTGGAAGTGGAGTCGGCACTCTCCGTGGACTTGGGGCACCTGGCTGGGAGTCTACAGGCCCTGCTTGTCACGCGCTTACCGGCCTCCAGGAGGAGGACATGCCTCCTTCCAGTGACTGCCTTAGCCTGTCCAGTGCCAGCCAGGCTGGGAGCACAGCGCCTCTCTGTGGCTGTCTGCACGAGTGAGCTCTGCGTCCGTGACCGGCTGCTGTGTCTGCGCTCCGGGACATCTGAGCCCAGTGCAGTCCCGTCTCGGTTGCATGGCAGCTGGCGGGTCCTCCTGCCCCTGCTCACCCCCCTCCCCTGGATGTGGCGTATTTGATGAGGTGCCTGCACCAAGGGACGCAACTTTTTGTGTCTCTGGTCTATTCGAGGATGTCCTGCCCAGCGCACCATGGCCAGGGCGAGAACAGAGGGAAGATGCTTCATGACTTTCAGTCACATAAAAGCCATAACTGAACTCTGATGAGCCTGTGTCAGAGAAACGTGCTGTCTGCTGGTTTGATTAACAGCATCAGGGCCAGCGCAGTGAGAAGACAGGATTGTGAAGGTGGACCCCAGACCTGGCTCGCTCTGGTTGGAAAATCTGGGGGTGGTCACCTCCAACCGTCTGGCTGGATGGGAGAAGGTAGCTCTGGCCCAGGAGACTGTGGTCACATCGGGGGTCACTTAGGAGCGGAGTGCCAGGTCGCCTCCCCAGCCGCCCCTCTTCCCTGGGGCCGTCCCGCCGGTCCACTCCGTGAGTGCCTTGAATCTCCTTTGCAGCAGCCCCTCCCTCATCCCTTTCCTCCGGCTCCTGGTGTACCCCCCCCCCCCCAACATCCCTCCTGAGACAGACATCAGAAGATGCCCTGACAGTCACCTCCCAGTGGTGCTTCCTAAAACACCGTCAGTGTGTCGGAGTCCATTTCTTTGCATCTCTCGTCTTCAGAATGTAAAGGGCAGGGACGGTGACTCCGAGCCACACACAAGCAGCCCCCAGCACACTGGGGGTTTTGAGCACTTTCAGTGATAAAAATGACAACGGACCAAAGGGGGCGTGAGGAACGAAGCATTAACTTAGCTGTTGCTGATGTGAACCAGGTCCCAAGGGCAGACCCTGGAGCTGCTACCGGTTAGGGAGTCATATGTGCCTTGAAACGTCCACTACACGAGCACCCAGAGTCTGGCGGCCGACAAGGGAACCCGACCTGGTGCCTGCCCCCCGCAGCCTGCGTGCCGCCAGTGGGCGTGCGGACGGGCTCGATGCGCGCCGTCGGTCCCTTGCCAACTGTGCTTGCTTCTCATAAGTTATTTATAAAGAGAAATCACCAATGGATTCTACTGGTTCGAGTGCTTCGGAACTGGGTGAATGACCGCTTGTGTGTCGTATAAATAATTGCCACAGTAAGCTGAGGTGTCCTGTGCAGTGCTTGGCTCCGGTGGTTGGAGAAGTGGAGAGGGCCGCTCGGGGTGGTGGGGCCGGGCGCTGGTTTCTTCCACTGCCTTCAGGATCACGCCCTGCTGAAAGGCCTCCTTGATTCAAGTCCACAAAGCCCCTCTATCCGGCTCTCGTCTCCTGAGCTGCCGCCCTCCCCGCCCCCTCACCCCTGGGGCCTGGCTCTGAAGTATTTCCCTTTCCCCTGCTACTGTGGTTGTCCATCTGGGGCATTTCATCCCCACACCCGAGCCTGCACGTTTGCCTCGCCCTCGGTGGAGAGCTTGGACCCTGTGAGGCACAGGACCTTGCCAGGCAGCGTGTGCGTTCCTGCCACCTGCTGGGCGACAGCACCTGCTCTCAGCCTGTCCAGGAGCCCCGTCTGGGGTCCGAGTCTTCCGGTCCAGTTTCTGTGCTGGGAGAGGGGCAGTGGGCTGCTAAACAGGCTGAGGAGTCCAGTGGTCCCCTGCCGTGGGCCAGCCTGCCTCCCTCCCAGCTGCCCCTGAGCCCGGGGTAGTCAGGAGGCCTGGGAGGGGCTTCTGCTTCCAGCAGGAGGGGTGGCTTCCTGGGAGTCAGGAGGCCAGGTTTCTGATGGACCTGCTTTTCTCTCCTTGCACAGTGACATGAGGTGCCAAGGGCAGGCTGCCCATCGACAGCGCCCAGGCACCAGTATTGACAACAGGGCCTCGCACATCGTGTGAAGCTTTCCATGTGCCTCATTGAGGGTCCTCTCAACAGCACTCTGGTCCCCCACCCTGCCCCCCCGCTTTACACAAGGGTGGGCGGTTCAGTGACGGGGCACACAGCCTAGTGGGCAGGGGTGGGGCTTGCCCCCAGCTCTGTCTGACCTGGCCTCGGGCTCCTCTGCCACGCCCTGGTGGTACCAGAAGTCATGAGACTTCAAAAGGCCACAGCACTGAGTCCCTGGGCTCCAGTCAAATGTTCCCTGTCTTCATCCCCTCCTGCACTCTGGCCTTATCTTGAGAGTGTCCAGTGCCGAGGACACAGGACACCAGGGCAAACTAGACAGTTTGGCTCTGTAGGAAGAGGCTGAAAATCTCACTTGAGGGGCACAGTCAAGTCACTTGCTCTGTGCTGGTGGCAGGGTGCATGAAGCAGCCAAAGAGAGGAAGCTCCACCTTCCAAGGCCTTGGCTCAGAGCAGCTGCAGCCAGTCACCCAGTGTGCTGCACCCGCGCTGGCCCTTGCTCTTCCTTCTCGCAGACTGTCCACACCGTAGATCTGGCACACGCTGGCCCTCGCACGCTCCCCCTCCTCCCTCCCTCCCTCCCTCCCCACCCACCCATCACCGTGACAGACCACAGTGGGCCTCTTGCTGCAGAGCAGCTGCACAGGACACAGGCCCAAAGCGTCAAGTTTAGAGCCTCAAAGAGACCCAAGCTGAGTGAGAAAGGTCCTTCGTTGACAGGTCCTTTCAGACCCAGGCTTGTCCCATGCAGCACTCCCAGGTCGCGGTGCCTGGCCACGCCAAAGCCAGCCTCATTGCTGGGCAGTCCAAGTGCGCTTTCCTTTTGACTTAACACGAAGAGAATGTGCTAGAATCAGGTGGCACACTGGACTGCCTCTAGGGTCAGGGGAGTAACAAGTTAGGGGAGTGGGCTGGGGACAGCTCACCTGGCACACAGGTGGGCACTGTTCTGGCTGAGGGACAGCCCCTGCTTTACTCTGGCCTCTGGCTGTGAGGGGGGAATATGGACCAAGAGGTCACCCGGGCCACAGGGCTGAGGGAGCGGCCTGGCTGGCCTGCGGGCCGGGTCTACCTGCCAAGGCTGGAACTCGGCAAAAGTGTCCCCAAGGCCGAGACGGTTCCCTTTCAGTTGCCTAAGCAGATCTTTTTGGAGTGCATCACTTGCCCCCACCCGGAAGACAGAGACTTTGCCTCAACACCCCTCTTTGAACGGGGTGGGGCGGACAGTGCGTCTTTTAAGGTAGGCCATGGTTGCACTGAGGCCCCTGTGTGGTGGCCAGCCTAGAGATTGGCCAACTTTTATGAAGAAAGGCACTGGTAGGGGACATCTGCTTCATGCCCTCTGCCAGACCTACGAGCAGCCTCTCAGCTCCCTTTAGAGGACCCTCCCTGCTGCCACACATGAGAAGGGGGGCAGGTTGCCTCTGTTTCTGGACTCCCAGGCTGGTCAGGATGGACCTGGGCCCTGGGCTTGGCCACTGGACTCTCGTGGGGCCTGAGTCCAGAGCAGGGACAGGGCAGAGGCTTGGCGGGAGGGCGCTGGGAGCACCCTCTCTCCCCAGGATGCGTCTGGTCGCCCTGGGTGCTCTCCCAGAGTGGCTTCTGAAGCTGGGACCACTGATGTCTGCTGCTCCCGGTGGGGACAGTGACCAGTAGGGTGGGGAGAGGCCCCGGGTCCGAGACGTGCTCTGGTGTTCTCAGCGAGGCCTGGCACGGCCTCTCCCTTCTCTAGAGCCACAGGCCCTTGCTCCCCGCTCCTCTCACTTGTGCTGAAGGAAACCCAGGCACCTCAGGGCACCTCAGGTGTGTGTGTCTGCTCACTGACCGGTAGGGGAGACTGCTCCTGTTGGGGGAGTTATTTAACCCACAGGGCTGTTCAGCCCCGACTTCTGACTCTAGGGAGGCAGTTAACTGTGATTGGCTGACCCCTTGAGGTGTGCACTTTCAACTGCTGTGCAAAGCAATGTCCCCAGTCAGCCAGGGTTTACTGGGTCCCCTCTTTGTGCCTGGTCGTAAGGTGGCACTAGGGCCCTTTGGGCTTGACAGCCAGCCCCAGTCCCTGCTCTCTTTCAGGGGGGCACCTTGAAGCAAGAGTCTGGAGGAGGCCACAGAAGGAGGGGTGGAGCAGGGCGCGGGGCTGGGGACCACACATGGCCCTTGCGGGGGCTGCTGCCCTGTGTCAGGTGTGCAGCCCTCCCACCAGAGGACTGCCAGGCCTCCGGGCAGGCGCCTCCGCCCTCATGCATCCCCAGAGGGACAGGGTGACCCTGGACCAAGGAGGCTGGACACTAATTCTTAGAAAGTAGAAAAGGCGTTATTTACAAAGGACATATTAGAAATACACTAGAGTATTCAGCTCCCACCTCTCCCCCGAGCCGTGAGCTTCCTGTCAGTCCTCCCTGGAGTCTCGGTCTGAGGAGCCGATTCTGCTTGGGTGCTGCTTCCCACAGACGGCGGGGGCCCTCCAGGGCCTGGCCCCCGCAGATGTCTCTGCCCCGGGGGGGGGCTGCTTATCTGTGGGCTCTGCCCTTTCCCAGCTGCCACACTTTTGGGGTCAGCCGAGCTGTTGTGCGGGCCTCCCCTGGGCCAGGCTCCTGCGGGATGTTTGAAAGGCCCCCTGCCTTCCGTCCATGTTCTGGCGGGGGCAGAGATCGGGGGTCGTATTTCCAAGTGGCAAATACAGAATGTTCTCAGGACAAGTGGTCTGGCTCTGGATGTTCGTTCCCATTTCCTGGGTCTGTGGGTGAGAAGGGAGCATGTCAGCGGAGGAAACCTCACACCTCAGAGCTGGTTTGGGGAGGTGGGGGCAGGCCCCAAGGCCCCTGCTCAATGTCTGGGTCAGTGGCTGACCCTCTGGCTCAGGGGCTTCTCCTTCCTCTGGCAGCCCTGGCGGAAGTGCACCAGGAAACCTCCTAGGGGCTTGTTCGGGTGGTCTCCTGAGATGGAGTGAAAGAGGCAGTGTTGAGGCCGGGGAGCCCGCTGCTCTAATTGCAGGTCACCTCCCATCCTCTAAATCCTCGAGGCTTACTTATTTTCTCCTTGCACACGAGCCCAGACGTTGGAACCCCGCATTTGTGGGCGGGTGGGCGGGAGCTACAAGTCCAGTGGCTGGCGCTTATCCCCAGGGCAGCATGGGGATCCCGTGCTCACCTTTCACAGCCTCTGAGCCCCGTGCAGGTCGTAGTCACTGTCAGAGGAGTTGTCGGGCTGGGTGGAGACCCGATGCAGGGCCCCCTCCAGAGCTGCGGAGAGAAAGGTGACTGCAGCCGGGCTCACCCCACCAGGCTACACAGACAGACCCCAGAGCCCCACAGTGTGTCAGGGATCAGAGGGAGGCTTTAGGAGCTGGTGGCTCGACAGCCATGGATCTGTTTTGATTAAATCAGCCAAACGTTCACTAATGATGCTGAACTCCAGGCTCCCTGGGGCTTCATTGTTAGTGCCAGTCTGGGAGCATTCAATACCGGGCTCCCGCGGGCCTCTGGGTGGCTCTGTTCTGCCTCATTTGCCATCTCGCCCTCAACGCCCTGCAGAGACGCTGGTCGTGGGGTCACAGTGGTGCTGGGGTTAATGGCGTCCCACTGCCTTCTCTCTAGCTGAGTAGCCTTTGAGGCCGTCTTCCTTCCACACCGTGCTGTGAGCGCCCTCAGCAGGCAGTTCACCTCCTCCCTGGTGCTTTTCTCTTTGGGTGATCACGTGACCCCCGCTCCAGCCCTGCCAGGCCTCCTCGGAGCACCAGCAGTGCTTACCTGGATAGGCGGAGACTTGGGAGTTCCTGGGAGGCTGGCTGTACTCATTCTCCACGTGTGAGGCTGTGGGGTTCTCGACCTGGGATCGGCGGACAGTTGTCGCATGATCGCGGTGGAAAGACACTGCGCACACAGACACAGGAGACAGCGTCATTACATGTGCCGAGTCCTTATCCTCCTTCCCAACGGGGTCCAGAGCTTTAATTTTTGTTCCCAGTGTGTAATGGGGGGACGGGTGTTGCAAGGGCACCCGCAGCTCCTCTGATAGGTCCTCTCTTCCCTTCTGTCTGGACAGGTTCATACAAGCAGGGGTCAGACTTAGAGCAGCTTCTGGACTGGCCAGCAAGCTGATTGGCAGGCTGGGCCTTTGGCTGGTCTGTTAGTCAGTCATCAAACATGTTTTAAGCAGGGAATTGGAACACAGGAGATAGGGTAGGTATTCCCCCTGCCCTCCCAGAGCTGAGGACCTTTCTTTATAACAAAAGACTTGACAACACAGAGCCTTCCTGAAGGGTTTGGCTTTTGGCAAAGGGAGGAAGACTATGAAGCAGGAGTGAGGAGGAGAGTCGCGGCTCCACCCTGGAGGGTGGCTCTGGCGGGCAGGGCTGCAAGGAGAGAAGATGAAGGCTGGGTGGGGGTTGGGCTGGCTGCATCAGAAGGCAGTTTTTTTACAACTGGCCTTTGAAGGTTGTTCCATGACCGAGGCAGTGATGGAACTGGCTTGAACAACCCTTCTTCCTGTGTCCCCACGTTGGGGATGAACCAGGCAGAAATACCGCTTAAAGGTTCTGATAAGTCCCGTGGTGAGGAACAGAGTCCAGCTTTGTCTCCGGCATGGCTGTGCAAACCTACACCGTCACGGAGTCCTCCCGAGTGCCGCCCATCAATGCCGGCTGGCACAGCCATCCCTCAGCCACACGGTGGAGATCAGAGCCCTCGGGCAGCCCCTGGCTCTGGAGGTGGTCAGAGTGAGCCTCAACCCTGCCTCCAAGGCTTCCTTCCTGAGCCTGGGGGACACTGGCTGGGCTGGCGGACTCTGCCTCTGGGGACACTTACTGTTCTGGCTCATTCCTGTCGGGCCGATCCACTGGCGCTGCTTCTTCTGGCGGACTGGGCGGCAGACGAGAAAGGCACATGAGGGTGGAGGCAGGAGTAGGGGTGAAGGGCATGGGGAGGAGGGGCTCTGCCCCCTGGGGTCTTTGGGGGCCTCAGTTTTCTGACTTGCTGGGGAGGAAACTGCTGCCATCTCTTGCTAGAGGTGGCTGGTTCTCCAGCAGAAACGACTTCAGAACCAGAGTTAAGATCTGGGAGGGTGGCAGGGACGAGCCCACACTGCCTGCCTCTGGGCCTTCCTTTCTCAGCCCCTCTAATCTCCCTCCCTTGTCCTTGAATCATGTTCTCCTGAGTTCTGCAGGACGAAGACAGACAGCAACCTGCTACATTCACTAGGTGAGTAATCATCCATTTTGTAGATGAGGAAACTGAGGCTCTGAGAGGAAGTGGCTTAGTCACCATCAGGCACAGCTGGTAGGTGGTGGCGCTGGACCTTCGACACGTGTCTCCTGAGGTCAGAGGCCATGCTGATGACCCTCTGGGCCTCTCATCAGCTAAAGAAGGCCGCACCCTCCCTTTGGCCCGGAGTGGGTCTCAGCTGGGCCCCGGGTGCGGGTGAATCAGCCACCTACACTGTTCCTGGCTTTCTTTTTCTCGTACTTTGGGCAGAAGATGCCAAGTCGAAGGGAGAGGGGTGGGGCTGGGTGTCAGAGCAGAGGCAGGGCCCCTCCTCATCTCCCCACACTGGGGCTTGAGAGGGAGGTGGCTGAGGCACCGGCACCTACATTTCTTCACCAGCTTCTTGTAGGCGAGGGGGCCGCACACGACCAGCAGCACCGCCAGGAGCACGAGGGCCAGGATGATACTTGCCACGGCGCCTGCGCCCAGGCCCGCCGGGTTCGGATCGTTGCCTGGGGTGGGGAGGCAGGGGGCTCAGCTCAGTCCCACCCCGCCGGCGTCGAATCTGCCCATTCAGAGGGAAGCTGCTGCCCGGCTTCTCCCCGTGATCCACCAGCACATGTGGAAGGCAGTCACCCACATGGCTGTCCCTCCACCATCTCTGGAATTCCGCACTGCACATTCCTCCATTCCAACTTAGCATCTGCCACTTGACTGTCCAGCTATCACGTGCTGCTTGGGTTATCAATTACTGAACTTCCTACCACGTGATCCCCTTGCCACCATATATGGCACCAATACATGGTCATACACTGGCCACCCATGCCTCCATCTCTCTCTTCAATGTGCTACTCAGTTCCCACTAAAGGAGCAATGTGTTCAGCCTGGCCCTTGCTTCACTCCTGTCCATCCTGGACGAGTAGAAGACAGAAGCCTTCTGTCCTTCGCCGGCTGCCTAACAGTGAGGGCCAGTCCTCTTTGTGGCTTGTGCTCATCACTGAGCGCTCTTGCCTCCCTCCCCCCAGTTGCCTTCCCTGCGTCCTTTTCTGGGGGCCTGGGGCTACCTGTCCTGCTCACTGACCAGGCCTTAGAGGGAAAACCCAAAACGGTCCTCCACCCGCTGTGGGCTGCAGCCAACTCACATGTGACAAACACCCGCCTGCAGTGGGTTATCTCCTGAAGCTGGTAGCACTGGGACAGCTTCTCCTGGTGACAGACGAGCCCCCGGGAGGTCTTGTCGCCGGCACCCAGCACCTGGGAGGAGCTGACGCCACCGCACCGCTGCTCCTGGCACACCTCCTCCCACCGAGAGGTGGCCTTGGCCTGGGAGTTGTGGCACAGGGCCTCCCACTGCCGGCCCCGGCGCACCTGCACGTAGCCCGCACACGTGCCGCCGCCCGCCACCAGGCGGCTCTGCACCTTGGGCTGGAAATCTGGGGAGGGGAAAGAGCGGGAGGTGGGGTGGCAGGCTCGGCGGGAACCTCCTCCGCCCTGAGCCCGCACGCCTGGCCCCTGGGACCCCCTGCCACGGCAGAGGGGCGGCCACCTCATGGGGGCTGCGGCACCATGTGACACGACTTTCCTTTCTGTCCTTTCCCCTTTCTGCCATAGTCTCTGCCACTTCCCCCGTTTTCTGGGAAGCTGCCAGCAGCTGTCCTGAGAGGCCACAGCCTGGGCCCTTTGACCGGTGAGGAAGCTGGCAGGTGGCGATGCCCGTGGCAGCCACCCGCAGGGAGTGGGAAGAGCAGTGGAAAGTGGGCTCCCCTTTCCTCTTAGAAACATCCTCTCCTTCTCCTGCGCTCCCTGGGAGGCGGGAGGGCTTTTCAGGAAGGGAAACGGAGGCCCAGGGATGGGAACTCCCTCCTGCTCCGAGTCCTGGCGGTTCACAGAGGGAACAGAAGCTGGAAATGCTGCTGTCCAGGTCCTGCTGCTCCGTGCAGAGGGAGCTGGGATCTCACCAGTTTTGGTCAGTTTCCATAGCAACATCCACCTTCAAAAGCTTAGTAAATCTATTTAGAATAAAAGTCAAGGGCCAGCTCCCCGTGTGTGGTTTGCAGGGTACAGCCCACAGGAGGGCTGGGTGGGCTATAACCTGCAAACCAGCCTTGCTCCCCTCCTCAGGCCAAGAGACTGTGGGGGCCAGCTTCTGCCTGAAGGGGGCAGTGTTGACTAATTCACACCAGACACCCAATAAGTTGGGGCTGCCCCACCCACATTAGAGCCCCCCCTTCCTGGCTTTGTATGCCCACATCCCTGGACCTGTCTGAAATGGTGGTCCTGATTCAATAGGTTGGGGGGTGGGGCCTGAGAGCCTGCATTCCTAACCAGCCCCGGATGACGTCCATGCTGCTGTCCTGGACCACCTTTGGAGTAGCCGAGGCTTAGGTGACAGGCTCCGGCCTGACCCTGCTTGAGCGGAAATCAGCCAGGGCTCTGTGACAGCGATTTTCAACCGGCGTGCCACAAGAATGTTTAAAACACACAACGCCTGATAATTTAGTCACTGACCTCTTTTCCCTTAGACTATGAAATTAAAAAGTGACAACAGCCACAATAGCCATCTGGTGTAAATGAATCAAAATTATACCCCCTTTTTGTTCAGATTGGCAAAAAATATTTTTTTGGTGTGCTGCAGAATTGTAGTAGTTAGTTTCTGTGTGCGAGGAGATGAAAAAGGCTGAAAATTGCTGATCTGTGATATTAGGCAAGAAATGTCACCTCTTTGAGCCTCAGCTTGCTCGTGCGTGAGGCAGAACAGTGATAACTCCCACCTCCGAAGCTGCTGTGAACAAGAGGAACGACCTGCCCACGAGGGAGACTTCGTCCAGTCTGGACCTGCCAGAACCCTCCCTCGCAGAGAAGCCCATCCCTCCTCAGGCAGGCAACGCCTTTCCTCCTGGTTCTGAACTGGAGTCTCTTTCCCCTCAGGTTCCCCACTGATCCCGGTTTTGGGGTCCCGTAGACCAGACTCCTCGGCTGCCCCCGCTCAACCACATCGGCATCACCAGTTTCTCCCACCTGCAGCTCTGTGGCTGGGCAGCCTGTGCAGGGGACCCCTGGAGACCTGCTCTGGCCTCCCGGCCTTCTGCGCCCAGGGACCTCCCACCTCTCACCATCTGCAACCTTGCTGTCCCGGGGGGTTACAAGCCCCCTTCCTGCGAGGCTGGTCCTGCCACCTGCCCCATCCTGCTCTGGTCCTTGGCATGAGCCATGCTTCCCGCCTGCAAGCCTTCTCTGCTCTACTCCACTGCGCTCCTCTCCTCCTTCCAAACCTGCTGGGCAGACCTTGCCTCCTCCTGGAAGTCCTGCTGATCCTGCCTTCCCCGAGCGGTGGGGCGTCTGGGGCCTGTGACTTGTTCGAATTGCTTTGCAGAGATTCCCAAGGCACCTGGTGTGACTGCGGCCTCCCCATCCCACCTGCCTACCTCTTAGAGGCCAACCGCCAGAGCCCACCTCCCTCGCGCGCTCTCTCTGCATAGTGCCCCGGACCCTGTGCTACATGCGGGGGGTTTGGAGACCATGTGGTGACTGACCGTCTGGGGACGCCCTTGGGCCTGGCCCAGTCTCACTCACCAGAACAGATGAGGGCGAGAACTCGGCCGTCCTTCCGGGGCTGGACTTTTCTGAAACACTGCTCCAGAGAGGTACAGTTGGTGCTCTGGATCTCCCACCGAACTGGCAAGTGCCCGATCTCCCCTGGGGGTTGCGTCCTGGCTGCCTTGGCCTCCGGCAGGCGCTTCAGGAAGGAGCCACACTGAAGGGCCCCGCAGATGAGGTCCCCCAGGTCCTTGGGCCCGTCCTGGTCCTCATAGCTGATGGTGCCACCCAGGCCGCCCCTGTAGAATTCCACCACGCCCGCACACCGCAGGCCCTCGGGCCCTGGTACCAGATGCAGCCTGGGAGGTGCTGGGGAGAGAGGGGGAGGGGTGTGCATCTGAGCACTGACAGCGGCGGTGGGGGGGGCCCTCCTTGCTCCTGGATCTAGGCTCCAACACACGGACATGTGAATGACCAGCCGACAGACCTGGGAAGTGGTGAGGTCCCAACTGCTGCAGGGGGTGTAATTCCACTAACACTTCGTGTTTGCTCGAAATGCAAACGTAATTGGGCATCCTGTGTTTCTAATCACTGCATCGGACACCTCCCCTGGGAGCTCCGGCGTCCTTTTACCTGTGGGCTCTGGCGTGGTGGGCGGCGGCCTTGTGGTAGGAGGGCTTGTCTTCCGTGGCTCTGCAAGGAGACATTCTGGTGAGGGGGCAGAAAGAGGGGGGAGCAGGGAAGGGTGGGGCGTGTGGAGGGCTGAGGGCAAACACGAAAGCTGGAGCTGAGGGCAGTTCCAGAAGGACCTGGAACTCATGATGCGGGTGCCACTTGCTCCACGCGTAGTCTCTAAGCCTCCTGTGAGGTGGGCAGCACCAGCCCATTTTACAGTTGGGAAAACAGAGGTGAAGAGGAGACAGTGAAGTTAGCAGGTCCTTGACCTTTTCCATCTTACCAGACAGGCGCCAGCCTTCCCCCTTCAGGTCCCCACCAGTGAATGTGTGTGTGTCGGGGGCGGGCAGCACTGTAAATCTGGGACCCTCTTCCACCTTCCCACTCAGGCCCGGGATCCCAGGCCCGGGGCAGCCTCCTCAGGGCCGGTGTTCAGGCCAAGGGGACCCACCTAAGCAGATCAGGCCCAGAGGGGCCCTCTGGTTTGCTGCGCTGGAGTTGCAGCTGGAGAAGGACCCCAGCTGCCCCTGGCAGATGACCTGGTTCTGGGGGCTGCTGAAGTAAGAGATGTGGGTCAGGACCAAGGCATCCCCGCAGTTCAGCTTCTGGCAGAGATTGGAGACCTGCTTGGGGTCCTCCGGGCGGTCGGGGCCCCAGCTCCGGCTGTCCAGCGTATGCCACTCGCCGTCGAAGTGGACCTCCAGCTGGCCCTGGCACGGAGAGTTGGAGCCGCGCAGTCTCAGTGGGAGCTCTAGGGGCCAGAGGGGAAGGGAGGGTCAGGCCGGGAAGGCTCTTCTCTGCCCGCCTGCCCCCAGCCAGCCTCCCTTCTGCTCCTGTGACTCATCCTTCGGGGCACTGCAGGGACTTCCCAGAGTCTCAGCCTGGGGCCTCTCCTCACCCAGGCGGCCCCTGGAGCCAGGCCGGGAGGATGGGGCGCAGACCTCGGAGCCAAGGGAAACTCGGAACAGTGGGCGAGGGGCCCTGGCCACCCACGGTGCAGCAGAACCGCCCCACTCCTGGGAAGTCTGTCTCCATTGACGGGAGTTAGGCCTGGTGCCGCTTTCTTCTCCTCTAACTTTTAAAATCGACTTCATTGAGGTGCACCTTGCACTCAGTGAAACGTGCTCGTTTTGAGGGCACTTGTTCAGAGGAACTGGGCGGACGGCAGGCGTCCGTAGCACCGCCACACTCTCGATGCGGAGCCTCTGCACCCCCCCCCCCCAAGCTCCCTAAAGCCCGCCTCAGCCCGTCCCCCATCTGCTTTCTGTCACTAAAGGTTACTTTCACCTGTTCTAAAATGTCATGTGAGTGAAATCACTCAGCATTTTTGTCCTTTGCCGGTTTTTCCGGTCTGGCTCCTTCCACTCAGTGCTGGAGATCCCCCCGGTGCTGCCTGGCTGTGCGTCTGTCCTTTCCGGCGGCTGACCACACTTCCTGTGTGGACACGCCACGATCCGCGTGTGCCTTTGCTTTTTGGGCTGTTTCCAGGTTTGGGCTGCTACGGACCCTGAGGTGCCTACGTTTGCCTGTGTGTGGGCACACGGTCCCATTTCTCCCAGGAGAAGACTGAGAGGCGGAGTGGCTGGGCCGTAGGTGGGAACGTGGCCTTTGTGATTTGCTCAAGCTCCATGGAGGAAAGAATGAGAATCTGTGTTTGCACTTGCATAGAGAGGTTCTGGAAACATATGCCCGAAGTGAATGAGTGTTTAGGATGGGGGAAGCTGGGCAGATGGGGTGCTTCGTGGCCGCGGAGAGCATCTACGCACCGGCGGGCATGTCAGTGTGTGTGTGTGTTGGGGGGGTTCTGACTCTGTCTCTCTCTATCCCTATCCCCGGTGGAGGCGCTGATTTCTTCATTGGCAGGACCCCCTCCAGCCCGACAGAATCAGCCCTGCTGCCCCTCCCCACCTCTGCGCCAGGCCTCCCACGGCTCTTCCTCACCTGAGTCGGCGGCGGGCCTTCCGAGGCAGGAAGTGACTGCGGAAAGGAGAGAGCAAGGTCAGGAAGTGAGTCTCCCTCCCGCTCCCTTGGCCCGCAGGCAGAGCCGTGGCCTTCTCTGCCAGCCCCCGCGATCCTGGCGTCCAGGTGCAGGGCTTTGCAGCTACCCTTGTCCCCCTGGGTGGGTCATGAGGCCAGTTTAGTGGGTTGCGGCCATGACCTTTTGTCCCTGTTTTCAAAGTCGACTTTGTGGAAGAACAGGCAGTCCACTGGCTTTTCCTTTGGTGCACAGTGCTGTGGATGTCAGCGCAGACCTGGGCCGGGGTCATCACCGTCCCAACCCGGGCGCACAGCAGTCGTAACCCGCCCCACATCCCCTGCCGCTGTCCCTTTGCACAAATGAGCGGTGTCACAAACATCGATTTGTTAGAAAATGAAGTGGACTCGAAGAGAGGATATCAGAAGGCAGTGTGCACTGTGAGGATAAGGCTCACTTTCCGTGCCTCAGGTTGCAAAGTAAAAATGTCCTGTTAGGTTGCTTTTAATCAAAAAAGTTTGCACTGCTGCCCTGGCTGGTGTGGCTCAGAGCACCGGCCTGCAAACCAAAAGGTCACTGGTTCAATTCCCAGTCAGGGCACATGCCTGGGTTGCAGGTCAGGTCCCCACTTAGAGGTGTGCAAGAGGCACCTGATAGATATTTTTCTCACATATCTATGTGTCTCTCCCTCTCTTTCTCCCTCCTTTGCTCTTTAAAAATAAAAATAAATAAAATCTTTTTTTTTAAGTTCGCACTTAAATCCAAGTTTGCATGGATCTAGGGAACCAGGAAATGAGCCGGGGAGGGAATCCAAGGCCAGCTCGCCGCTGTCTGGTATTCCCAAGGCCGGATGAGAATGGCAGCAATTTATCTCTCACGGCTCCAGTTTCCAGGGGAAGGCGTCAAAGCTCAGACTTGGATTGGAAGGGACTCGGCTGTGGTGGCACAGCCCGCTGGCAGAGGTGCCAAGACCACGGCCCCAGCGAGCCTGGCCCAGCTCCTGCCTGGGCTCAGCCACTAGGGATGTGGGCCATTTGGGAAGTGCCACCTCCTCCCAGCCCCGTTGTGGGAAGAAGGGGTCCCCCAGCAGGCCACCTCCCTCCAGTTCCAGCTCCCCGTCGTGAGTGGGGCTGTCCACCTTTAGGGAGTCATTTCTTTGGCTAAGCCATGACGGCTGAGGCAGCTTGGGGGAGCATATCGGGGGAGAGGGGACATAAGGGTCCCCCCCTTTGCTGCTGCGCTGGTTCTCAGGCACTGGTCCCTTTCTCAGCTGAGCGAGGGCACAGCCCTGCCACCACCTGCCTACAGGCCCTGGGAGCAAGTCCCTCAGCCCCTCTGAGTCTCCATTTCCTCATCCACAGCACGGGGACAGGGAAGGGGCAGCTGCATAGTGATGAGAGGATGTGATCAGCGTGACGGACTTAGCCCGGTGCCTTCCCGGCCCTGTTTGGTGCTCAGTGCAGCTACTGGTCACGGCCCGGGCAGGGCCTGGGGTGCGTGCAGGGACCGGGGGAGCTTTCCCTACAGGGGACTCCGGGTCCAGGGCCCTGGGAAGCCAGGCCCCAGGGCTCACACTTGCCTTCTCACCTGGGACCCTTGCAGTCCCAAAGTTACCTCAGTCAACACTCATTATTGACAGCAGCTACCATTATTGAGCACCTACTGTATACTCGGCCCTCAGAGTCATTCCTTACGGATGCCATTGTTAACGTCCCACACGGCCTCACAGTGTGAGTTGAATGTGCTCACGGAAGACATATTGGGAGAGTGTAAGTGCCCCCTCCAGGGCGACACTGCCAGCAACTGGCAGGGCCTGGGCTTGAACCGTAAGCTTGCCTCCTAAACCCGTGCCCTCTACTCTCTGCACCCCCATCGTGCCTCCCAAAGGCCAAGGTGGGGCTGCAGAGATGAACATGACCCAGACCCTGACCCTGAGGAGCTGGAGCCCCCAGGCCCAGAAGCCCTTGGGCCTGGCCGTGGAGGCAAGTCTCACACAGAGCAGCCCAGGCCCTGCCAGGAAAGACCGAGCCAGCCAGACAACCAAGGAAAATTCTAAAGCAGAAAATGCCTGGTCATGAAGAGGCGTCTAGGCATCCTGGGGCTTTGGCTCCCTCTGGGCGTCCGTCTGTCCTCAGCCGAGTAGCATTTCCTGTCTGTCCCTCCAGGAGTGTCCTCATCGCTTACAGCTGGCCCCCTTGCCCAGGCATTTTTCACGTGGACTCTCTGAAACCTCAGCACAGCTCCCAGAAGCAAGCACTGCTGTCCTAATAATCCCCATTTTATAGATGAGGAGACTGAGAGCGAGGAACTAGCCCGAACTGCCACTGAGTGCTGGGGTCGGAACTCTCGGCCAGGCCTCCCCAGGAGCCGAATTTGTGCTTTTCGACCTCTGGGCCAGGCTGCCACCCTCTCCATGGGAGCGAAGGCCGCGGCAGCCGGCCCAGTGTCTCACCAGTTCCTGCGTGTTCCCGGCGTGCGGGCTGATGGGGAGGCGTGACCCTGGGATCCTGTTCGGCCTGTGAGACATGGCACGGGAGGACTCTCCCAGGCACTTGCTGTGTGCTCTTGGCGAGTCACTCCACCTCTCTGGGCTCTGTTTCCGCATCTATAAGATGAGGACCTTAGATTCCACGACCCCTCGCCCTCCTCCAGGTTCGGAGGTGGACGGTGGGATGCGCGCCTGACCTGGAGCATCCTGGGTGCTTCATTCTTTCATTCTGTCCAGGAAAATGTTCAGGTTCTGCTTGTCCCCAGCTGATTTTAGCTGCTTTGCGCAGACCAGCATCCTCCTTCCCCTGAACCTGGTAGGTGCGCTCAGGGCTCTCTGACGCCCTTCCTGCCACAACATACCGTGCCGGCCCCCGCCTGTAGCCTGAGGCCCAGGCCCTGCTGCGGCAGAGTCTGCAGACAGAAGCCTGGAGACCCTTGAGAGCATGGAGGACATGGGTCACGGAAGCCTTGTGCTATTTCCTAACCCGCTGTCCACAGCGGCACCTTGGCAGCTGGAGCTGGGAACGAGAATTCTCCAAAGGCCCCTTCCTTCCCCGGGCAACCCTTCCTGGAAGCCCAGAAATTTAGGACTTAGACTGACTACATCCAGGCAAAGCTCAGAACAAGAAAGCCAGAGTTAGAACGCCTCTTAAAGCCCCGACTGGTATAGCTCATTGGATTGGGCCGGACTTTAAACTGAAGGGTCGCTGGTTCAATTCCCAGTCAGGACACATGCCTGGGTTGCAGGCCAGGTCCCCCCAGTATGGAGCGCATGAGAGGCAACCACACATTGGTATTTCTCGCCCTCTCTTTCTCCTTCTCTTCTCCTCTCTGAAAATAAATAAATAAAATCTTTAAAAACAACAAAAAAGAAGCCCTCCGTACTCCTTCCGAGCCCCTTTTTCATTTCTGCTTTTGTGGGGATTCAGTCATTTTGACCCTGTTTTGCTCCAACAGGTCTCAGTGAGGAGTAGATGAATTCCTGAGAGCAGCTCCGAGACCATCTATCTATCATCTATCTATCTATCTATCTCATACACAGACACCCTCATCTCCTACTTCCCTGCCCGCCTGGCTCCCAGCACCCACGTGATTCCCACTTTGGCAGCCCTGCAGGCCGCGTCAGGCCCTGGATGAGTTTTATTGGCTTTGCACAGTGTTAAAAATCGGGTGGCCCATTTTTTCAAAGGTTTCTTTTTGTTCTGTTATATTTAAAAAATCCCAAGACCCAGATGTTTTTGAAGAAGAGATATCTCTGTCTGCAGGGGCCTCTGCCAGCCCCGGGCAGCTGCCTGCCCTTCTGGTTGCCACGGTGCCCGAGGTAGCCTCCTGGTGCCCTGCCTCTGGAGACCCCCGGCTTCAGACACAGGACGGTCCCCTGCAGGGAAACGCGTGAATTTTCACACTGAGAAGGACGCGCCAAGATTATAAATAGCCTCCCATTCGTTCAGGTCAGGATTCGCACCGACTGCGTTGGTCAGAAACCTGCAAATGCTCGCTGGGTTGGGAATTGCAGACGAAGGTTGGCAGGCCGGTGGGGTGGGGCCCACTGCCCAGTCCTCAGCAGAGCCCGGGCCGGCCTGTCTCCTACTCACTGGTGGGCCCTGCCGGTAAGCTCCGACCACCTGCACCCTGGGACATGGGGGGCACCCGGGATCCCAGGAGGGGCTGGGACATTGTCAATGGCAACAAGGGCGATAGTGAACACCTTCCCACAAACAGGGAACTCTCCCTCCTACTAGTCCATGAACTTCAATGTACAGCAAACTCCACATGTCTGAGGGCCTTTGGGGGCATTCTGCCTCCTCCGTCCTGTCACCCCCAGTGAGGGACCGCCTTGGAGGGTCAGAGACCCCTCTTCCCTGGACGACACTAGTCAGTGAGCTGTGTCTAAACTGCAGCAGCATCAGCGCTTCAGGGGAACAAAGGTCCCATGACCTGAAATTCTGTTCCTCTGGCCGAGCCCCAGAGGAAGTGACCGGTTTAGGATTAGGAGCTTTTTTATGTGCAAAACACGCAGAGAAGCTCCTGCCGGGAGAGCCAGGGCGCCAGAGCCTGCGGAAGAGAAAGAAGGACCGCAGGTCTGGCCGCTCCTCTTGCTCACCCAGGGCCTGGGCCAATGTGCAGAGAGTGAGCCCATCCTGGGCACAGTGGCCTTCACGATTTAGCTTATGGCTTCCCCCATCGTGGCCTGGCCTGTCTAATGGAGTTGGCATGGACTTCATGCCGCATGTGTCTCCGCTGTGCCAAGCCCTCCGTTTTGTTCGGAGCTTCACGCATCTCAAGACTCTGCCACACCTGGGGGCTCATTCTTTCCACCCACAGCCCTGGATGGGTTGAAGGGACCAGGCTTACCCCCATTCTGAGATCAGGAAACTGAGATCCAGAGAGGCTGAGTGACTTGCCGAAGGTCACACAGCTCGCTGGTGATAAAGTCGGGGCAGGAAAACAATCACCATCACTGGACAGGGCCCCACGGGAGTCTGCTGTGGGGAGACACAGAACCTGCTCGCCCCGTGGTACAGATGGAGGGACCGAGGCCGAGAAGAGGGAGGGCGCACTCCGGAAGCCTCCGTGGGGATCTGTGGGCCCTTGTCATCTCAACTGCCACCACTTTCCTGCCCCATCCCTGCCACACCTCTCCCAGCTGTGTCCCCAGGGATAAGGGAGTAGTGGGGTGCCTGTGAGAGCCCTTGAAGTCCAGCCTGGGAGGGGAATAACGATCATGATGATAATGATGATAGCATTAATTATAGAGGAAGTGGCCGCAACCCCTCATCTGCTATTCAAAATCCAAACCAAAAGTCTTTCTAACGCCTTTGGCGGGAGGGTGTTGGTGGCCTTTAGGAGTCCCTCTGAGTGTGTGAGTTCATGTTTCACTGCAGAAGCCATCTCCTGAAGTGCTGCCCGAGGCCTGGTTGGCGGGCGTGTTGGGTGCATGCAGCCCAGGCACAGGGCACCTTCTACCGTCAAAAACATTCTGAACTCCCTAAGCTTCTGGCCCGGGGCTCAAGGTGCGGGCTGCGGACAGGACAGGTGAGTTACTGTCTCTCCCCAGGGCGCTCAGCACACTTTCTCCTCTGCTCAGTTTGCTGGAGGAGAAGCCCCGGGCTGCCGCCCCTCTGCCAGGGGTCCTCCCCAGGCTGGCACGGCGGGCTCCCTCCCGCCCTCCCGGACCTTTCTCAAACATTATCTTCTCGTGAGGCCCACTGCACCCTCCCAGGTACAGCACGGCCCCCAGCGGTCCCAACCCCCAGCCACACCACCCAGGACTCCGAGCGCCGTGTGAGCACCGGCCTACTCCACCTCTCATCTGTGTCCCCATCACACGGGCGGGGAGACTACTCCCGACTGACCCACTGGGCGGGGTTTTCCTTATTCGCCACGGTGTCCCCAGCACTCAGAATGCCGCCTGGCACATAGTGGGTGCTCAGTGCCTAGGTGCTGTCTGAATGAATGAAGGAAAGAGTTAGATCTGACGACTATCCTCTGAGGCAGGCACAGTGGTGACCCCCATTTTCCGGGTGAGAACGCTGAGACTTAGAGAGGTGTTCTTGCCATTCGTGAGCAACCATGTAGAAATCGGGCCCAGAGCCATGCTACTCCAAGCCCCATGGGCCTTCAAGAACCTGCACACAGCCCTCCTGGACACCTGGCACCCGGCACAGACGCGCACAGCATGCACGCACGCGCACACGTGCACCACACACAGTAGGGGTTCAGTCAAGCGTGTCAGATGGAGTTGAAGTCCCTCCCCGGCTGCGATGGAGAAAGCCCGTCTGAACGGTTGGGGCTGCGCAGGGCGACCAGAGGGCCAGCGCCAGCCCCCAGTCTCTCCATTCCTCATGGGGGTGCTGGGGCCCCCTCCTTTGTGCCCAGAGCCAGCGGGCCTCGGCTCTGCAGCCTGGGACACAGGCTGGGTGGCCTGCTCGAAGCCAGGGCCCCCACCCCCCTCCTCTGTTGTGGATGCCCAGCCGGTGGACTCACAGTGAAGTCGGTCACTTATGTCAACCGCTGCTGTTTCCTTGGTTACACTGATCAAAATATTTGCACATGTTTTGAGGGCTCGATTACTTGTGCTTTGTAGCGGGTCTCCTTGGTCAGCCTGGCACATGGTACCAGATCCATGGGGGGGTCCTGTTCCGTTCACTGCTCTATCCTCAGTGCTTTGCAGAGCTGGACACATGGAGCTATAGGAAGTGCTCAGTAAACATTTGTAGGTGAATGAATGAATGAAGAGCCTGTGCCAGAGTGTTGGGGAGCAGAAAGACTGAGGGGTAGGCCAGCCTCTGGCAAGACCCCTTCCCACCAATCCTACCTCACCTCATTTCTTACTGACTCTGAGAGTAGTAATAATAATTTAATAATTATTATTATTAATGTGTCTTGAATGCGTCAGCACTGTACCATGTGCTGACATTCTGACTGACACTTCACATGCACTGATTCATTTAATCCTTAAAAACCTGTATGAGGCAAGTGCTCCTATATTCCCATTGACAGAGGAGAAAACTTGACGCTTGCAGGCAGGTCGGAGGTCACCCGGCCGGCAAACGGCAGACAGGAATTCAATTTGCAGAGTCTCTGGGGCTGAGGGCAGCGGCAGCGGGGAGCCGCTGTGGGAAGCCATGGTCACTGCCGCCACCCCCATGCCACAGGCACCTTCATGCACCAAGTTCCCTGAGTCACAGGCACGGCCCAGAAGGCCAGCCAGGAGGCTGCAGTGTCCCTGGGGCTGTGGTGGCATCTGATCTGTTCTTGGGATGACTCAAAGGTACCTGTGCTGCTTGCCCCCAGCTCCAGCCCTGGGCCTTGGGGCCCCTAGACTTTGGTGGCTGCAAGTCCGCTGGGGGCAGTTTTGTCCTGAGCCCATTTTCCTCCTCACGGGAGTGGCTTTGATGGCCTCTGCTCTTAGCTAAGGGCCCTGAGGGGTCCCCATGAGAGCGGGAGTGCCGGGCTGGGGTCAGCTCTGCTGCCCAGCAGCTGCTTCGCCCTGGGCTTGCCACTCGGACCTCAGTTTTCTCCACCGTGAAATGGGGACACTGGGCCCACCTACTGCCGAGGCTGCTGTGGAGCTGACAGAAGAAAATGGCTCTGGAGGTATTTTCTAAGCGGTGACCCACTGAGCGACGGGAATGTTTATGATCTGCCCGTGCGTGTTTGTTTGCACACACACATGGGGAACCACACACTCCGGGGGTCCCAGGTGGGGCCTGCCAAACTTGGCCTGAAGGTGCAGCGGCTGAGCCGCCCTGACTCTGGGCTTCTTTGGGCCATGGACCTGTGTGGTCCTGCCAGGAGCCTTGGCCCACGATGGGATTTGGGCGGGAGGCCACGGAGCAGAACCCCACCCCATACCCAGCCACCAGTGAGGGGCAGGCGGGGACTGAAGGGCCTGGTCCCAGGGCTGCCCAGGGCCAAGGGGCCACAGCAGCTCCTCCGAAGTGTCCCGGGGGGCACCCAGGGGCCCGTCTCCGGGCCTCGGCCCTGGAGGCGGAAGGCATTTTATATCTCTTGCAGTTCCATGTAAGAATAGCCATGTGAACATGCGTGCACATGTGCAGTCGTCACATGCTCGGGGGATGGTAAGGTGACATTTGGAGGCATGCCTGGCCCTTGGAAACACACACAAGCACATTTCTCACACATGCACACACGGACACACAGGCCTATTTCCACGCCCACACCCAGTCACCTCTGCACCCCAGCTTCTCTAGAGGGGACTGAGGGTCTCCTGAGACCTCTCCTTCCGCACTGGGAGCTGCAGGCTCCTTCCTGTTGCCGCCCATTCCCGTCCTGGGACCACGAACCTCTCTGTCCTGCTACACCTTCCAAACCCTCGAGAAGAGGTCAGATCGCTTCTGGTTCCCCCCCTGCCTTTCAGAGACGGGGAGATGGAGGCCGGAGGAGGCTCAGGGACCTATCCTAGGTGCACATGGCCAGGCTTAGAACCCGGGGTTCGGGCCGCAGCACAAATGGCCAGCCCTCCCCACCGTTGCCCAGGGTTCTACCCACTGGCCAGAGTCGGTGACGGCCCCAGCATCAGGGCCCTGGCCCTGAGCTAGTGCCCCCTGGGGATGGAGGGCCCCCCAGCTTCTACCATCTGCCCCCAGGCAAACAGAAGGTTTCCTGTTGTTTCATTAGTGGCCCACGGGGACTGGGTGGGTTCTGAAGCCCTTCCTTCTGGCCTGGAGGAAACCCACAGTGAGTTCACAGCCTGGCTGGTGGTCCCGGCTGGGGCCCCACTGGGGACAGAACCAGAGGGACTGGGAACTAAGGCACGCACCCTTGGCATCTGCTTAGCTGCGTTCTCAAAGGCGGTCTCTACCCTGCCTCAGCCACCCTGCCCAGAGCATCGTCAGAACCGTCCAGGAGACCTCGACTTTCCTGTCCCCCGGGAGCGTCTAATGGAAGGTTGTACACTCTTGGGGCAGCAGGGAGCCATAGAGGGAAGCCCACATTAGACGGGGACTGGTGACTTGATTGCTAAGCTGAGAGCCTGATTTAGCACAGAGCCCACCTGGAAGGCCCCAACAGGGCAGGAGAGAAGCAGAGATGAGGCGCCGGGGTTGAGACAAGCAGGGCCAAGAGTGAAGCAGGAGCCGGGGACTCAGACAGGGATCCTGGTGGTCCCAGTCTTGCATGATGCTCCCAAGAGGAGACATACGGGCCTTAGAGTCAGACCAAGGGGAGAATTGGCATCTCCCCCTTTGCATGCCAAGCCTAGGTACCCTGGCAGATGCCCCAGGAGGGGTACTCACCCAGCACTCCCAGCAGGCACAGGGCGGCCAGCAGCGGTTGCTGAGACTCCATGGTCACGGCCTCCTCCTGCTTCAGCCTCGGTAAGTTCAGCACCCGTGGGTGAGGCTATCTGCCCCCTGTGTCTCCCTCTCAGGGAGGAGGGGGCGGGGCAGGCAGGCGTGGGCCGGGGTGGGAAGGGGAACAGGCAGCATAGGGCCTGCGTCACCCACGTTTGAAGTTGAACTGTCAACTTCCTCCAGTAAAACCACCTGTCCCAGTTTGAATGGCTTCTGCCAGCTTCCTGCCCGAGGTGCCCAGGGCCGGGGCAGTGCCCCAGTCACGCCACACTGGGGCAGGGCTCCTGCAAGGGAGGCACCTGGCCCCACTGGGAGCGGGCTGAGGGGACCGAGGGGCAGGGGTCCCGGGGGGGGGTGCTCAGCCGTGCTGCGGTGCTGAGAGTGGGGAGCGGAGGGCACTAGGCCAGTTCTTGCTGCAGGCTCAGTGATGAAAACCCCAACGACACCCTACTTCTCCCCTCACGGGGGTGAGGCGGGAGTCTGAGGCACACCCCCACAGGCGGCATTTAACCAGCAAGCCTGGGGGACGGCTCCTTCACAAACTCGGGGCTTGGGGCAGTGTGTGTGTCTGTGCACGTGTGTGTGGGGGGGCGGCGATCTCCACGTCAGTGTGTGTGTGTGATCGCCACGTAGGTGTGAGATCACTGTGTCCATAATACTCCCGGAGGGGCTGGAATCAACCTCTGGCCCGTGGGAAAGGGGCAGGGGGGCTGGGTTTCTGTGAAGTGGATGTGGGGGCTGGGGCCCTGGGACAGGAGCCTGTGCACAGGGACTGGAGGACCGGGGCCCAGACTCAGGCTCCCTGGGACTTCTTGCAACCTGGGCCATTCCAGGCTGGCGTGGAGGCAGCAGAGCTGAGTGTGAAGTGTCAGAGGCAGGGGTCCGAGTCACCTCTCCCTCCTCCGCCCCCCCCCCTCCAGCAGCTGCAGGTCCTCCAGGTCTGGGCTGGGTGCTCTCCTTCCCTGGGCCGGTCAGATTCTCTCAGCAACTGCTCAAGAACAGCTGCTCAGCTCCCCAGAGACTCGTACTCTCCAGTCCTTTCTACTAGAGGCCGAGGGGGGGGGTGGGCTTCAGGTGCTTGAATCAGTCCATCAGAGGGAAGAATTGAGTCGTGGCATCAAGGAATGAGGACCCCCATAATAGGTGTGATTGGGGGCCACACCCACCACCTCCTACAGGATTCGGAGGTACCTCATCCCCTCCGCAGGTGACTCCACGGAAGCCTGGACCCAGCCCTTCCCGGCCCTGCCGCCTTCCCATCCTGTGACTGGAAATCCCAGAACTTTCTTTCATTCATTGGTTCATTCGTTCAAGAAATCTGTGTCCCATGCCAAGCATCAGGGACGGATGCAGAGATGAATGGTCCCTGCCCAGCTTTACCCTCCAAGGACCCCTCTGTATAATTTTTCTCCTGAAGACTCGGTGTTTAGAAGGCTTTCGTTGGTCACGCTAGCTGTGTAGGAAGTGGCCCTTCACAGCCGGTTTTTACTGTAGCAGTTTACATACTCGCAGTTTGAAAGGGAGAAAGGCTTCTGTGCGCGCCAGGGGCGTGGCCTCTTTTCCCAACCGTCGGGGGAAGTGGGCGGGGTTTTCCCTTTCACAGATGAGGAAACTGAGGCTCAGAAAGGACCGCACTTGGCTTCTGGAGGTCAGAACTAAGATTCGAACCCACATTTCTCCCGTTTCACAACACTTGCCGCTACCCTCCGCCCTCCACTTACCAAAAGCAAAGAGCACAAACGAAAACTTTGCCTTTTGTTTGATCTCAGAGTCTCCATCACAGGCAAGGTTTTGGTTTCTAATCTTTTTTATTTGTTCTTGGAAATCGGAAAGCAGCTCAAGGTCCAGGGTTGCTGCCTTCCAGGCCTCTGGGACCGGTACCGCTGGATCCGGGGGCAGGGGTCCGGCCTCTCCCGCAGCCTCCCCACTTCGCAGCTGCTGCCACCTCCCTCCCTCCTCTGCCTCCTCAAGCCCCTCCCTCCCTGCAGCCCACCCCCATCAGTTACTCCACCCTTTCCCCCCCAGGCCTCCAGGCCCACTGTCCTCGAGCAGACCCCAGATCCCTGGCGGGAGTTTCCTGTCCTCATCACCCCCACTTTCCATGACACAAGAGGAAGTCAGCTGAGCCCGGCTGGGTTTTCCATGCTGCCTGGCCGGGGTGGAGGCCAAGGGTGGGGGTGCGGGCGGGGGTTAGCAGCCCCCAGGCCGGGCGTCAGTACCTCCTGGGCCTCCGAGGGAGAGGCACCTGCCTGCTGCCCTGGCCACACCAGGTAACCACTGAGCGTGTGTTCGTCTGTCCGTGGGACAGCCCAGGGCTGCTTCAGCCCCTCTGGGCTCCTTGACTCCCCAGTGCTCCCAGGATTTGCCCTCCTTGCCAGGGCAAAGGGGCCACAGGGTTGAGTGGGGGAAGAGGAGGAGCTGAGGGCTGGGAGGGAGGGTTGGGTGGTGAAAGGAGAGGGAGGAGACCCTGAAATGTGACGGGCACATAGTAGGACCTTAGTGTTTGTTGAATGAATGAATGAATGAATGAATATATGGGGTGATTCCCAAAGACCAGGGAATGGTCTGGTGGCCAGAGGAGGTGCCTCTGCCCTGAGATGGGTGGGAAGAGCCTGGCAAGTGTTTGCTTGTTGAATGACTCAGTGACCTGAACCCTTGAAAACCTGTGCTTGGCAGCCTGGACAGGGCCCCCCCCCCCAGGGGAGCAGGTTTTGCAGCAGCTCCTACCCCTGCCCCAGCTCAGGAAGTGTATCCCCTCCCCCCCCCCCCCCCGCTTTGCTCCTGCTCAATTACATCACTGGTGGGGGGTGGGGAGGAGAAGGAGGGACATCAAAACTGGGTTCTGGACCCAGATGGGCAGTGGAGGGGCAGGCAGGTGTGGTGGAGGGGTGCTGGCCCAGGTGGGCACCTGTGTTTGAGTCCCAGCTCTGCCCAGAATTACCATGTGGCCTCTCACGGCCTCAGCTGACTTGTCTGTAAACTATGGGGTCGGATGGTCCTGAGGCCAGTCCTCTCGTTCTAGGGCTGCACCCCTGCCTGCAGCCACACTTCTGGTGGCCCCGGGAGGTGGGTGGGGGGACTCCTCTGTCCTGGAACCTGGAGGGTTTGACTCTTTCTCTTGAAAGAGTACCAGGTGTCAAGTGCCAGGGTTTGGGGGAGCACAGAGGACAGAGCACTGGGGAAGGCGCGGGGCGGGCGTGCTGGCTCTGTGTGGTGGCTCCCTGTGTGCACTTTCCCTGGGTCCCAGGTGGAAGCCGGGCCTCCCTCAGCGCTGCCTCCCCCGGGGGCCTGGAAGGTGCTGTCAGAGAACGCTGGCCTCACTTCCCTGTGGTCAAACCTTGAGTAGATGACTCAGGCAAGGTACCTGAACTCCTCATCTGCAAACCGATGGTTCGAAGATGAAGCAGGTGGAATAACTGGTGCAAAGGGCACAGCACAACCCCGAGCTGAGAGCAAGGGCTCCAGGTTGTAACCATAGAAATAATCATAACTGGGTGACCTTGGGCAAGTCATGTCCCCTTTCTGAGCCTGATTATCCTCCTCTGTAAGATGAGGAGGGTGTGGAGAGATCCCCGCACTGCAGGGCTTCTGGGAGATTTCCTTGCAGTGTCATGAAGGCTTGTGAACCGTAGTGAACTCCCTTGAGTGTGAGGGCTGGTCAGCTCTGGCGGCATCCACCCCAGCCTCCCCCCCCCCCGCCCCCCGGAGCTTGTGCTCCTTGACCCAGCAGCTACCTGGGAATGAATCTGCCTGCGCTTTTCACTCCTCCCCCGGCCCCAGGGCCTGCTGCAGGCCTCCCCGCTGGGTTTCGGGAAACTCGAATCCCACAGGCCATGGCCCCCCCGCCGTGTGTGAATCACATTTCTGGAGGACTGGCGTTCATGGTTTCTCTTCTGTTGCTTCTGTAAGTAAGATTGAACTTGTTCGACCATGGAGCCTAAGTTTCGATTAAGGAAATAAGGCCGCCTACAAGATAGAGTAGGACAAGTGTTAACCAAACCCATTTTTCAGATGAAGTAACTGAGGATCGGATCAGTTAGGTGAATTCCCCACGGCACAGAGCTCATCGCCAGTGAGGGTTGGACCGGACCCCCAGGTCTCCTGGTCTGCAGACCACCCTTGCCCAGCACAGCCCCTCTATCCCTTCACAGGCTGGTGCTTCCCCTGTCTTTTGGGGGCCAAGGAGGCCCACACACCCAGCTCTGTGTACTCAGTTCATAGCCAGCGCTCTTGGAGGCTCAGATCCCTTCTGCAAAATGGGCACAGCAGAGCCGTTGGGGGGGTGTGGCATTTCCGAAGCCCCTGGCGCTGTGGGGGTCTCTCCCCTTTCTTGTTTCCTTCTTTGGTTAGTCAGCCCAGGCTTCTCTTCTAGTACCCAGCACCTGCCACAAAGCTGTACTTGAGGTCTCATTTTTAAAAAACCATTTCCCAGAAGCTGAAAAATGGACACAGCCTTTTTTTGAAGGCTAAAATGGCAAAAACCACATTATTATTTTTTTTAAAGCTCATACAGTGTTACTTTTAGAGAGCCCTCCCGCGCTCCCCAGGGTGCTGGGCAATATGCATAAGGGTGTTCAGGCCACCGAGGGACAGTGGAAAGATGGGAAGACAGGGAAAAGGCGAGTAATGCCCGCTCCCGGTCCACTCTGGAGAACAGCGAGGCCTTCGGGGCGGAGAACAGAGTCCAAACGGACCGACTCAGAGAGGCGGCCACTCTGCTCAGGGGAAAAACAGAGTTTGAGGACCAGGTGTGTCCAGCGGCCTCACTCCCGTGAACTAGAAACAAGAGTGGATCGAGAAGTGAGATAAAATGTTTCTGCATTCACGGAGAAAGGTTTCGCAGAATGCTCTTCAAAATAATGAGAACGGATTGATCGTAGGGAATGGAATTCAGTAGAGATGGCAAGGTGAAATCGGGTTGGGCTTTTAAAGTAATTTTATTTTATGCACTTTGGAATGTGGTTTTTATCAATGAATGGATATTATGATTTTATGATAAAACATATGTAAAAGGGATCTGCAGAAAATCCTTTTTAAAAACATGTCCTATTTTTTATTTGTATAATTGTACATGACACATAACATTTTTATAATATGGTTTTCTTAACAATAAAAAGAATACAT